AACAAAAAAAAAAAAAAAAAAAAAAAAAAAAAAAAAAAAACACATCTTAGTAAAACCAATACCTTCTCAGCTTCGCATCGAAGCTAAAAATTTAATTTTTTTTAATTTATTCAAATTTTAAAATATCAATTATTATAGCTTTTTTTGTAAAATATTGTGATGGATCGATAAAAACTTTAATATAAGTACTTATTTAGTTACAATCATATTAATATTAGAATGTGTATGCAACGTGAGCGGGTACAACTTGTACTGGTGTATATAAATAACACAAACTTAATTTTTTCTTAGTTTTACTATTATGCTGTTTCATTCGACCCTCTGAATAAAAAGACATGCACAATTTTTTTTTTGCAAAAAAATGACTATAAACTTTGAAAATCAAAGAAAATTTTTGTTAAATATCTATTATTATTATAGTAGTTTTAATTATTCCTACAATTAATTTAAAACTTTGATCATATATTATAAAAAGTATTATAACACATTAATTTTTAAGGTTAAGTTTTTATGATCTAAATCACATTCAATATCTTTACCCACGAATGAATTTTCTTTTTTCATGTATAGTTGCAAAGAATTCTCAAATAAAACATAACAAATTAAAATAATAATTTAGGCAAAACTTATATTCCATTATATCATTGTACCTTATCACCACAATGTTTTTTTAGATGTATTTTATTAGTTTTTAGTTCATATATAATTTTAATATTATCAATAACACTAATGGGTCATGTTCATTAGATTTCCTCTTAATATATTTCTGAATACAAGTTTAAAAATTGTTTAGCCTTTGAATAAAAGGCATTACTAACATATCGCTCGGCGTACTAAAGATTTAAAAATTTTTTTTTTTGTAATTTGTTAATAAAATATATATATTTTTTTGAGAATTACTGTAGAATGAAATTTTACAAAACAATATATTTGTAATTTCTTACTTAATGAACCATAAATCCCCGATGAAGGCTTGTGAAGCTTACTGACTGATAAACAATTTTGAGTTCGAGAGAGTTGATGAACTGTAATGTCCACTGTACCTCCGCCACAATCAACTACCACGTAACTACATCCTAATAAAGTAAAATATTTATAACTATACTATTAGTTTAAAAAACGTATACTTAATGATATTAAGTATACTATAATTAAGTTTCATTGAAGTATTAATCAGAAAATGAAACTGTTTGATATGAATGCAGTTTCGGTTTTAATTAATGATCATTTCGATCTTCAAAATGTTTTAATATAGTGACTGGTTTCTGTGTCGGGTTTAAAATTTAATTTTGAAACATTTTTGGTTTCGGATTTAGAAACAAATGCAATATAGTGCACGGTGGCTGCGTCGTATATTTTACAGTCTTCTACGCTAGATGTACGAAGTTTGAATCGCGTCAGTTAAAATAACTTTTTTTGCATTTTTTTCTTAATTCTTTTTGAGGTGAAAAAATTTTTCCCGACGATCTATATTCTATTTGCAAATAACCGTCGAAATTGAACAAAAAATATAATATTTGTGTAAAAAACCGAGTTTTTATAGTAATTTGGACTATTGTCAATTTAGCAATAAATGTTAATTCATCAGTCTCAGGAAGCGGATGTGCTGTCTGTATTTTATTATTGTTGACAATCTATGTATATACAGGGTGTTCAGTAAGTCAGGAAACGGGTATCTATTGTTCTCATTGTTACAAACAATGAGAACAATAGATACCCGTTTCCTGACTTACTGAACACCCTGTATATCATAATCTTTTTTTATGTTATCTAATAACAGCCGGCCGGCCTTTTTGGTATGCCCGTCAGTGTACGTTCCACCGCCTAACTAAGGCGACGCGCTCCTAGTTTATTTTAGTTATTTATTATGTCAGATTGAATAAGTGTTTTTAAATAGTAATTTATGTCAAGTTTTTTTTTGTTTATTGTTTGGATATTAAATATTATTAAAATTAAAGTACAATAAATAATTAAAAATATAGAGCGTTCTGTTATTAAATTTTAATACACCGCTCTCCCTAACAATTATAATAAATTCTCATAAAAATGAAAACGTGACATCATTACAATATTGAAACCTTAGGTATTTCCCATTCATTTGATATAAATCTTATATCAAATTCATATTAAAATATTTTAAAATATGGTAAATATAATATATTTAATTTATTATTAAAATTAAATGATTGTCCTTATCGGTTGCTATAATAGTATAATCTGACTCTTGACCTGATCACAGGGAGGATTCAAAATAACAATATTCACACCAACTATTTCAACCTAATTATTGAAAATTTTCCGGAAATATTGACACTTTTATTTAATCTTAAATTAAAGCTTATGTAATATACTTTACTATGAAAAAAAAATGTCGAGTTATAGTGAAAATGATTATCATATTCAAAAAAATGCTACTTTTGTGTTAAAATTCTTGATATTGTATTTAAATTAATTTTAATATAAGTTATTGCTTGTGGCTATGAATTTTTTTGCAATTTTTCCTTTATTCTTTATGAATTCGAATTTTGCTTTTGAATAATTTACCAAGCTTTTAAAATTAAACACTATCTACAGATTTGCATTGAAGGGTTTCTTATGATAGTGATTTTAATCACTACCAGATATCATGTATACTTGTCTCAACTATGCAATCAAAAATGGGCAAGTTAATGGAAATAATTAACTCAAGTTAAGTTAAGTTAACTATGATCAATGTCGATAAATTAACAGTTAAAAGTCAACATATTATAAATTTAACTAGCTAAGTTAAAAGATAAGTTTAATTTTTTTAACTTAAGTAGTTTAAAAAAAGTTTATTCCATTAAAAATTTATTTTTTGGCTAAAATCTCTTGAAATCATTTTTAATTGGGCGGTAATGTATGGGAAAGCTAAGAATTGAATTTCAACTTTTAAAGTTGAATCTTCTTTTTCTTTACCTAACTTTAATCATAATACATACTGTAAATTCAGAACACTCTTCTTCTTCTTCCTCGCCTTAATCCCAACTACTTGGGATCGGCCACCTTTATCCTAAACTTCCTCTTAACACAATCTCTCACATTATCTACGTTTACATCAGCTGCCATTATATCACATTCAATGACATCCATCTATCTCTTTTTTGGTCTTCCTTTACCTCTTCTTCCTTCAACATTCATTTCTATAACAGTTCTTACAGCTTCCGACTCGTCTCTCTTCATATCATATCACCCGCACTTAATTCTGTGTCCTACATCCTCGTCAATACCACCACTCTTTTGCATAACTGACCCTAAGTACTTATAACTCTCCAATCACATTCCCGCCTATTGTCACAGACCTCCTCATTTCACCTACCTCGTGTTCTCCTTTGTCAAACTCGTACTCTATATACTCTGCCTTACTCCTACTAATTCTTATATTCTTTTCTTCAAGAGCTGATCTCCACACCTCTAGCCTCTTTGATTGATTTTCTCCCTATTTCCACAACATTTTCATCACGTTGTTATTTCATTCATTACTATAGAAAATAGGTAAAGGCTTAAAGCAGAGCCTTGCTGCACTCATACTCTAAGGTTTAGTGTCCCATCGGCACACTTAACTTTTGTTAATGTTTCAGAAATACTCCAAATATTAAACTTATGTTAAATTAAAGCTTATACTATTTACTATAAATTCAAAAATCCCAGCACAGTGGGGTCGCAGCACAGTGAGGACGTGTAATAGTTGGGTCCAGTATAGATTTAATGTGACAGTGATTAAAATCACTATCATAAGAAATGCTTCGATGTAAATCTGTAGATAGCGTTTAATTCTAAGAAATTGGTGGATAATTACAAAAGCAACATCAACTATTTCCTTAATTATATCCAGATTAGTAATTCTTTTACTTATATATTATATAATTTTAATAATTGATTGTTTTCAAATTATTATTGACTTTTAATATGTTAAAAGTAATAATTTTTAATATACTTTTTTTTGTCCTTTAAAATGAAAGTTTAAAATAATTAATTTATTACCATAACTTTTAGCTCAATTTGCAAGTTTGAAATTGTAATCATTAAATAGAAAAAAATGCTATTCTTAAGATTAATATGCATCCAAAAAATTTTATAATTACTCTTTACAGTAAATTTTCCATTTCATCCATTGTTAAATTCAGGTGAAACTAAAAATCATTTTCTTTTTAAGATTTATGATTTATATAGCAACATGTTACGAAAAAATTTGGAATGTATTAGACTGGTAGTAGCACACACAAATAGAGTAAAAAAATTAATAAAATTCAAAGTAAAATTATATAATATCAAATCTAATTCGACTATATACTTTAAAAATATTAGAAATTAATGATATTAATTGTTTGTATGGATAAAGCTAGTTAAGCTATGAGCTTCGATGCGGAGCTGAGAAGGTATTATTTTACTAAGATGTGTTTTTTTTTTTTTTTTTTTTGTGTCTGTTACCACTTTTTCTCAGCTCGCACCGAACCGATTTCTTTCAATGATATGTCAAAAGATCACAAATCGTATCTAGTCGAAGACATTACCCTCAAAAATTGAAAAAATTCCCTCGTTCCCCGTAAATGGGGGAAACCTCCAAAAAAATTACAAATTTAAAAATCGCTAATTTTCTACATTTTTTCAAATTTTTTACTAAAAACTACCGTAACTGTTACCACTTTTTCTCAGCTCTCACCAAACGGTTTTTTTTTTCAAAAATGAACATATCAATATAATTTTTTTTTTATATAGATTCATGATATTATTACCTTTCATTTGGTATATTTTTTTCATAAATTTAACCCTTAACCTGCCCACAAGGGGAGATTTAAAATGACAACTTTTTCACAAAACATAAATTTTTTCAACTTGATTTTTGAAAATGTTCCGGAAAGTCTGACACTTTTATATATATATCCTAAATTAAAGCTAATGTAATATACTTTATCATAGAAAAAAAAAATTTCGGACTTTATTTTATCTTAACGGTGAAAATGGCTACCGAATGCTATTTTTGTGTGAAAATTTTCGATTTTGTATTTTACATTTTTAACTTTATTATACTATAACTTTTTGAAAAATGTATGGATTATTACAATTTTTTTATGAGAAGTAGTATTTATATAGTTCTTTCATTCGACACACATTTTTTTTTAAATCGGACCATTTCCCTTATACAGGGGGGATTCAAAACATAAAAAAGCATATAGAAAGTAGAACTTTTCCAACTTAACTTTTGAAAGTGTTCCGGAAGGTCTGACACTTTTATAAATATCTTAAATTAAAGCTAATGTAATATACTTTATTATGGTAAAAAAAAATTTCGGACTTTATTTTATCTTCACGATGAAAATGGCTACCGAATGCTATTATTGTGTGAAAATTCTCGATTTTATTTCTTACATTTTTAACTTTATAATGCTATAACTTATTGAAAAGTGTATTGATCAATATAATATTTTTATGGGAAATACTATTTTTGAGTAATCCCTTTTTCATTCGACATACTTTATCTTAATTAGAATATTAATAAGGAACTAGCAGTTTATGAAGCTTTTGGAATAATCCACCAATTTTTTAAAATTAAACACTATCTAAAGATTTGCATCGAAGCGTTTTTTTTTTTATAGTAATTTTAATCACTGTCAGATATCATTATACTTAATCCAACTATGCCACGTCACCACTGTGCCACGACCCCCTGTGCTGAGTTTTATTATATTGGTAGTTACATATCCCACTAGTTCTTCTCCAAACATACTTTCTTTTTGTTATTTGATTAAGGAATTTTTATCAATTTTTGAGGGTAATATCTTCAACTAAATACGAATTGTAAACATTTGACGTATCGTAGAAAAAAGTAGGTTAAGTGAGTGTTGGAAAAATAAATCGCGGCCTCAAAAAAAAAACACATAGTAAAATAATATTAACATGAATAAAAAATTGAATGAATTAACATGAATAATAAATCACGAGGGGAGACTATAGTGATGAGATCCTTGATATTTATTGAAGTAATTGAATCTTAATAAGATAAAATTCAAATGATTTGAAATTTTTTTTCTAACTCAAAAAAAATGCAAAATATAAA